CCTTCATTTTAGGTAGCCAATGTCTAAGTTTGCCCATCCCTAGCTACCCTGTATACAGAAGGGATAGGATTGATACTTGATATGAAGACTTCTTCCCTCTCAGTTGGCATTTTGAGCTTTTACATCCATTAGTGTAGGTCAAAGTCATCAAATTGTAGCACTCTTGATTGTTTCCTTGATCTTCCATTATTTTTATTAATCTAATCACATTTTCTGTTTCTTTTCAATTGTGAAGAGACAATAGGGAGCTTCGAGTTAAAAATGGAATTAGAATTTAATCTCACTTCTTGAAGTGATTAGGAAAAAAGGTAAACGAATTGCTCTCATAAATCCAGGTGTGCTTCATTGGTGGCTAATACTTGTCTTCCTTTTATCTGATTGTGTTAGGACTTGCTCGGGGCTGTAGAGGCAAAAGAAGCTCTTGAAAAGGAAGTTAAGATCTTCCAAGACAGGCTCCTTGCTGGCCAGCGGGTCTGGGATGCCTTGAAGCAGGAGCTGAGCCACCTGAAGAAAAGCTCTTCTGAACTGGAGAAGAGTTTGAAGGCGAGTCTGGACAAAGCTGCAGCCTCGCAGAACCAGTACTCCTCATTTCGGGAGAAAATCGTAGCTCTCCTTAAGGGCAGCTGGGGCTTCACAGGGACCACGGAGGATGCCATCCTGGAGAAGATTCAAGATATGGGTGGCCAGAAAGAGAGCAGGAAAAGGGTGAGTGGGTGATGGTTATTTATAAACTTGAGGATTAATAAAATACTCTATTAGTTTAAGCAGGCCCAATAAATGATCTATATCAATCAATAAAATGTATGATTTAAATGTGGTTTTATTACTGTCAATTATACATCATCTAGTATATGGAAGGACTCCTGGTGTGACGATGTAGGGTCAGCACTGAACTTTGAACCACAAGATCGGCAGTTCAAACCCACCAGCTGTTCCTCAGAAACCGTATAAAGGGGTCTCTATGAATTGGAACCAGCTTGATGGCACCTATCAACAGCAACAAGTACATGGAAGGCTAACTAGTGACTCAAGCATCAATTAACTACGGATGTGGGTCCTGGAGTCAGACCGCTGGGTCCTGAGTACTGCTTCTGCTGTGGACTCAACTTTCATGCAATGTGACCTGGGGCGGAGGGGGGTGGCAGCTTTCTGAGACTGTGTGCTTTCATTTGCTGGAAGGGTCCTAGTGCCTTATCTGAAACCTTGGATGTGTTTCTGAGTTCAGAAGTTTCAAGGTTTAGGAAGATAAAATGGTCCACAGGAAGCTACCTGACTCGGCCTCCCTCGGTGGGACCTGGGACAGCAGTCATCACCAAGCACATCCAGCAGTCATCACCAAGCACATTCATGTTTCTGCAGCAAAATAGGTTGTAACTCCACCTGGTGGGGTAAAAGAAGACTATAAATAACCTTCTAAACTTCAGGTCGTGGTTTGCTGCCAGATCAACTCAGGGCACATTGAACTTTGTCAGTAATTGAGTTATCAAAACAAAACAAAACAAAACAACAACAAAAACTTGGTCAATTTTCAGAACCTTTGGGTTTTGGAATTGCACATAAGATTTTGTAAGTTTCTGGCTCATAAACTCATTTCTCATTGGGAATATTAATGAAAAAATGGTTATAATGCCCTTTAGATACTGCCTGGCAAGTAACAACATTGAGAATGAACTCTTGTTCCCATTGCTTCTTCGCCCCTCTGCCCGTCTGTCTTCTTCTTTGTAATACTTCCTTGCCTTTTTAGAGAACCTATTTAACAAGTGGAGAGA